TTTACAGCCTCAGAAACCCTGTGCAGGGTCGCTATGGATCGGAACTGACTCCACAGCACACAACAACAGAGACTCTGAAAAATACACATGTGAGAGAGCTTGTCTGATTGCAGAGACAAGTCAAACACCTTTTGTTTGGACAAAACCTGTGCATATATGAAGTGGAACCCTCATAAGGAAATCGGCTTCAGAACAGTCAGGTTTTGGTTTTAAAACATGTAGACTATGTAATTCTGTAAAGTAATAAGAACCCCGGATACTTACCAACATGAGAAGGCCAGACAGTTATATGCGGATGGGAATGATACCAGCCCACAACTCTCATGGGCCGACCTGTTAGTTCAGCCAGTCTGTGTGTCTGTCAAGGTAATTCCCAAATGAGAGAACACAATTTGTGATGCTTAAAGAGGGCTCAGGTAGCCTCCTGGGGTTTCAAATAGACCGAGCCTGACTTAATGCCAACAAAAGAAAGACATGAGGTGGATGCGCAGATTCCCCAGACTGCCCACTTAGAGCCAATTTCGTGAAATGAAATCCACATGCTTTCTATTACTGTATGTAATTAATTACACCTGTTAATCCAATTTGGCTAATGTTTGATGACTCAAATAATGATCACTGTGCTATCGGAAAGTCTTATCTAAATCTTCAACAAAGGAGGAAAACAATCTTTTGAGGACTAAATTGGGGGCCTAAACTGGGGACCTTTGTTGATTTGGGATCTTAAAACCACAGTAGTTATCACTGCTGACCTGACCAACTCTAGGCCCAGGCCACTGAGCAGGGTAGAGGGATCCCCTCGGGTAATCAGCCCATGCCTGGGAGACGATGAGAGGCTGAGCAAAGGACCGCCAGACCACGTTAACAGGAACCCCGAATAGCACCTGCCTCCACCCACCAGAATGGAAATCATCCGGATTCTGAAGCCTCCGTAGTGACAAAAACAAGCCTAGTGGTGCCCTAGGATAAACACTGGACTGCTAAGTGCAACGTCGGCAGTTCAAACTGGCAGTCACTCCGTTAGAGAAAGACGAGGCTATCTGCAGCTGTCAAGATTTACAGTCTCCACAAACCTACAGAGTCGGCATCAACTTGATGGTACCGAGTGTCCTTGAGGTCCCACTGAGCAAATCTTTAAAGCAAGGCCTAAAGGAACATACATACTGCTTCCAATCTTAGCAACATCCCATAACAAGATATACATGTCAGGTAGCCAAGGAAAACTGCACACTGTATGACATCCAATGTAAAATGACCACATGCCGCCCAAGAAACTCCAAACCATGCGTAGAGATGCAGAAATCTATTAGTG